TTGCCATTCCTCTTCCACATTTCTTTTACTTATGTTTTCCACATCACTTTTCAGCATAATGTCCATTTTTTCTCCTTGTTTCGTTGCTAATTTTGCTAATTTATCCACCTTTTCATTTCCCTCTATTCCATTATGTCCTCTGATCCACGTAATTTTTATCTCATTTCCTATCAATTTTATATTTTCTAACTCGCTTCGAATTTCTGTATAAATTGCTTCCTCAAAAAGATTTTTTTTGTTTATGCTTATTAATTTTTCTACACAACTTTTACAATCGGTATATACAATTGCTCTTCTTATGTTGAAGTTTTTAATATATTTTACCGCTTCTCCTATAGCTACTAATTCCGCAGTATATACTGAAACAAAATCTGGTAGTTTTATCAATTTTTGAAATTCTTTCTTCTCATGGATCATGGCACACCCTACTTCATTATTTACTTTAGAGCCATCTGTATAGATTTCCTCATATCCTCTACTGTTTATAATATTTGTCTCTTCTTTATTAATATTGACAAAAAATTGTTTACCTTCATCAAACCATAATTTTTTAAGATTAACGTTGTTTTCATATATCTTATAAACATTAGTTTTCTTCATGAAATTCAAACTGTCTACCATAATATTTTGCTTATTATCCCAAAATTTATTATTCTCCATTAATTTTTCCAATTCTTCTAATCCACTAATAATATTTGGCTCTCTTCTTAATATCTTCTTATAAATATATTTATGGATTAAATATTTCCATCTTAGTTTTAGAGGTAATTCTCCACTTTCAACTAACATTGCATTTATTGGCGTGGATTTCATTGCGCCAATACATATTCTGATACATCTATATTGTACTTTATCCAACACCTTTACATGTGGACTACTGTGATAAGCAATGCTACCATAATCTAAAATTGGTCTAATCAAAGTTTTATATAGCTCTAAACTCGTTTGTGGATGAGCACCCCACCATGTTTTGTTCACCACTCTTAATAGGTTTATCCTTTTTTCTATTTTCTTTTTAATATCTTGTATACATTCTTTAAATTTCAATTTTTGATCCAACTTGACTCCTAAAAATTTATTACTATTTTTAACCGCTATTGAATGCTCTTCTGTACTAATATGAGTTGGTAAATCATTCAACCTATGTCTTGTGAATACCCCTATCGAGCTTTTCTCATCCGACAGTTCCAAGCCTTTATCCCTCAACCATCCATGAAGTTTTTTAATATTTTCCTTCATAATATTAAACGCTAGATTTAAATCCCTTTGTTCTACATAAATGAGTATGTCATCGGCATATTGTATAATATTCGTCCCTCTTACCCAAATATTATCTATATCTCTTACATATATAGCATACAATAATGGGCTAAGTATACCTCCTTGTGGTAGTCCTTTATTCACTACTCTTTCACCAATTATTTTGTTATCTTTCTTAACTATTATATTCCTTTCATATATATTAAATGTTAAGGCTGACACCAATCGGAATGGTAATCCTATTTTAATTAATTCTTGGAACATTATTCTTGGGACGACATTATCATATGCCCCTTTAATATCGCAAAAGACAATACGAGCTTAAGATAATTAAAGTACATTGTTACATTATTACTTTACCTCATCATATGATATCGGTTTCTTTTTACAAATGGGAGGCTTCTCTCATTTTTATAGAAACATACTATTTCACCATCTACACTGTACTTTTCTATGTGTATGTACTATACATAAGCCAGTTTTCATTTAAAAAATCCATCCACATGGTACACGAGAGATAATGAGACAAACATTCAAACAACGGCGGCCCCCGAATTGAAAGTTATCTGATTATACGCAGCGTATTTCATGAAAATAATTTCGTTCACGATCTGAATAGTGTATTATGAAAAAAATAATTGAATTTTAAACTCGAAATTTCGTGTCACACGAGCTAATCAACTTTTTGCATTTACTTGATTATAAAGGACCAGAATTAAATGAGGTTTCTTGTGTATTTTTGAAAAATCAATCACTGGCAGATTAAAGTAGATATTGGTATAACAGCAACATTGTATTTAATGCAAGATCAATTTTATATATTTAATTAATCGTTATTTTCTTATGTAAACAGGGAATCCAATAAAGAATCAAAGTAACTACACATGAATCTTTTCTACAAATCTCTTTTTGCGTAACGATTTATCGACACCGTGATTTATTCTGTAGCCCTAGTTTAGGTGTTCCTCTCTTTCGGTAGCAAGGATTACATTTGTAGACTCGATTTCATCACTAAGTTGTTCTTCCACTGGGGAAGGGAAAAATCACCCTTACCGAAACGACGGGCGGAATGATAATTGAAGATCCGGGTAAAAAATTACTCGTTTGGGTAAAAGATACATGATGAAGAAATAAACAGATTCATCATAATAAAAATATAAAATTTAATCAAGGTCTGATTAATCTAGAATTATAAAATTATTTTATCATTTTAAAATTATGATGTGGTCCATATCATGTGAAAAATTAATTGCATTTACTCTCTATCTATGTACTTCTATTTTATATACTAAAATTTTATTTTATAATTTTATTTTTTATAATTACTAATATAATAATTACAAACAAACTAAATACAAACACTGATGAAAAAGCAAACTGTATAGGAATTTTTTCACAAAGATAACACAGTATAGAATGTTTGTCTGTTTGAACATCGTCAGGGTTGGAATAGCCCTTAATTTCATTTATCTTTTGTAATTGTAATACAAACTGAGATGTTTGAACATAGACGAATCTTGTATATTTATATTATTTATATAATAAAGTCTCTCAGCTCTCCAACTTTTCCGAGAAAAACCTTCCATCTGTCCCTCCCTCTGTAAACGCAAGTAACTACGAGATTAGAATTAGAAGAACCTGATAGATGCGAGAAAATAAAAGAACTGTCTATAAATTAAACGATTTTCGAATCAGATAGAAGTCTAAAGAAAGCTAAAAACTATACCTTTTGTTTAAAAGAAAAACTGGCAGGAATCTGTTTTACGCGCGTGCTGAAGTTTTCTTGTAAGGATAATGCAAAACCATCAATCATGTTCGCTCGATTGTGTCTTTAGAAGTTTAGAAAACAGGTATAGGAAATTTTATATTTCTCAATAATTTTATTAACACTTTTTGAACCATTATATATTTTATTTTGAAGGGTTTTTGAATACTGTATAAATTTATGAATATTCTAATTTATATTATTGTTGATACAACCGAATCACTCTGATTAGCTCTGATTTTCAATTTTATTACATTGATGGCTCATGTTTCACAGAAAAATTTAATATCATATTCATACATTCTATAATTAAATTTCACATGATAACAATTGCAAAACAATTTCAATTGCGTATTTTTAATAAATTCCTCGACTACCTTTGTTCCCTCTGGGATATCTGCGGTTCCCATGATATTCCGATATTCATCGAGGGCCAATTTGATGATGCATAAGGATTTAATAAGTGGTATGAATTGGCTAATACTAATAGATAGATGGTAATCCATCGTCTGTTATTATACTAGAGATGCTGCAATAGTCGATTTTCGATATATACACATTGTGATACGAAATTGAATTTTGAAAAATACATACAATTTTTAATTATTTGATTTTTAATTATTTATTTTATACATACACATATGAATATATTCACGAATAAACTTTGACTTTTGAGTTTTATAACTTGTTTAACATCATGTTAAACAACTAAGATTTTAAGGCTGCTGTAAGTTTTCCTTGAATATATTATTACAACTACATTGTAACATTCAGATAAATCCTAGGTAAAAGTCGTCAACTAAAATAACAAGAATCTAAAGCTCTCATCTGAAATCCCACCCTGATCCACTTACAAACATAAAGCGCACCCTCGAACATATAATTATTATCAAATGATGCGAGTTATAAGAGAACACAGAATCCCATATTCTTTTTCCATGATCTAAAATCAGAATCTACCTAATCCGTCTGAGTCGTCCCTTGTTATATAAACTCACTAATATCCGATCATGCAGACATATCATATAGTAATAGTAATCTGACATAATGTATAATCCTTCCAAAATCATATTGGAGTACTTGAGCACCCCGTACTCGGAAAACATACCGCAATATTGAATTCCGAACGATTAATTCCACTTGAACTGTTTCAATATTCAACATATACGTAATTTTTGATGTGTACATACTAGGGATGTAAATAATATGACATGATAAAATTTAGTTTAATAAATGCTAATCTAAATTTCATAACGATCCTATTCACAAAGTTATGAGTGCAAAATTATATAATAAATTCCGCGTTCATAAAGCGGAAATAGCATTATCCATCGTTTATTTAAAACAAAATTTCATAACTCAAAGTTAATCAACAAGAACTTTTCATCTCATTCAACGAAATAATTGTCCATAATTACAAAATAATTTCTCGTTTAACATTTTGAAAACATCACTGCGAACTATGCATTCCCAATTGCGCTCTGGCATGCTAATAATCAATTACGCGAACTAATATAAAACTATTTAAGTTGAAAGTTTCTGAATAATATTTATTTAACTTTGGGTATACGAGCAAGGTAAATACAGTCGAGAAATATTTAAGTTAATTTCCCAAGTATAAACATTCGTTGAGCAGATATATACGTTTGCATTCGAGGGAGAGAGGAAGGCTAACGAAACGTGGCATTTAAAATGATTTATTTTCCTTCAAACGAGAACAAACAACTCTCTGCAGCTTTATCAAACATTCTCTGAAAAGTTTCAGGATAATATCAACATTAGGCGAGCGTGTTTGCATAAAGTTTTTGGAATTATAATAACTAATGTGAATTAAATTGTTATAGTCGCATTGTGTAGAAGAAATACTACACCACACAATTTAGCTAACAATCCTAATTCAATATTATAGTGTTATCCAAATATATTAAATTCCATATCAATAAATAATTTAACACATGTATTATCTTATTTTCAGACTGAATTATCCCAAAATCTGCAACAGCTTTCTGAAAAAGCGAGGTCTACGACAGAATTCATACAACGGCTAAAAGGGATGAGTGACAAGGTTATGGTGAGTTTAATCGCATTTTTGTTAATCATTGATTATGATTATAAATATTAATATTTTTTTATTTTTCAGGAATCATGTACAGAATTTGAACACTTAGTAACAGCACAATGTGATGCATTGATCACAGCTATTTTAAATAGGCGAGATTATCTCCTAGAGGCAATACGATGTGATAGAGAAGCTAAACTCAGAGCACTCAAGGTAATTTTATATTTTTTATATTTCTGAAATACTTTAGTACCTATTTTAATATTGATTTTTATGCCCTGATTAAATTTAGGACCAGGCATCAACTGCTACAGGAAAATTACAACACACGACAGGTTTAATACAATTTTGTATAGAGGCCCTCAAAGAAACGGACAGTGCTGCGTTTTTACAGGTAGGAATAAAAATAATTTATCTGTTTTGTTTTATTGAGTGAAAATTAATGTTTAAAGAGTTTTATAACTTGATTTTACCTACTACTCTACTAGAAAGTAGCGAATTATTTCCACACAATGTTATTTACAAAGAAAATTAGATTTTGCAGTTCTGTATCAAATAAGTATGATGAACAATAAAACTTTTACGTATAAAGTAACTTTTAAAATGCTTACTCTAATTTTACAATTTTGATATTGCAGAGATCTGATATCTATTTCCTCTATTATATAAATTTGTATTTATTTTTTTGACCAGGTGGGTTCAATGTTAATAGCCCGAGTGGCGCAAACGGACATCGCCTGGCATCGGGAGGTGCAGGAGGCCACGCCGCGTGTCTCTCACCAGGTCGATCTCACGCTGGACGACAAGGCCGTTCTCAGGGCAATCGATCAATTGAACTTCATACAAATGAAACGTGAGTAAAAATAGAATTTTTCCATATATATTGATACATATGTGTGAGATCGTGTGAGTGAAGGAAATGAATAATTGATAATAAATCTTTAAATTATATATATGAATATTTGTAGTATTTGATATGGTTCATTTTTCGTTTAAACTTCATAAACCTTATAAAACCCTATAAACTTGATTTTTTATCATTTTTAACTTCCCGTAGGGTAAGTTATAGTAATCGCAAAAAAATCGAAAATGAGAATTTTTATATATCTTTACGTTTCAGAGGTTTCTGAATATTTTGGCATACCTTAGAAAAAATGGATGTATGTGTGTGTGTGTATGTATGTATGTATGTGTGTGCGTGCGGATACAAATTTTCGTCGACGATTTCGGGAACACGGATGAAGCAATTTGAATAATTTAAAAAACCTTCGATCCGTATTGATAAGGAGACGTGCTGATTAGTTTTTGGCGGAGGTAGGTCTAGTCGTTCCGAAGATATGGGGTAAAAAGTGCCAAAAACGGCACCTCAGTTTTTAAGAGAACGGAGCCTCCGATTTTAATAATTCAAAAAACATTTTACTTGTATTGACAAGATGAAGATTTGATCAAATTTTCATAAGGGCAGGTTTAGCGATTTCGGAGATCGAACGAAAAAAGTAAAAAAAAAGCCATTTGGCGGTCAAAAATGATCATATGCACATCAAATTATCAGATATTTTATAGAGAAATAGGCTTATGAATATTACTTTCAAACTTTCGATTCGATAGAGCTTATTTATTTTGTTTGTTATGCATTATTTTCACTCCTATTACTATAATCATATCGTTGGCTATTCGTTGATAATACGATGAAAAACAATCCACGTTCCATGTTTAATATATTTTCATTAAAATAAAATAATGAAAAAACCATATCATGCGAATATGATGATTAAAGGTATGTAAACAATGTATAATTAAAACTTAAATTGGATGATCGCATAAATATTCAATAGGCTTTAAAATTAAAATTAAATTTTAATATTCAATTAAAACTATTTGAAATTTGTTGATAGCATGAAACAATATTATTTTTCAAATGATACACAGATTTATTTATCGAGTGTTTGAATCAAATATAATCGTATTACAGTTATAAGGTTTTATATAATAATAAATCAATATATATGATACCTGAATAGCGGTGTTATGATATAAAAATATTGGGGAATGGAGAATTTTGTGGAAAACAATTTGGCGTTATAGTGCCATTCACCCGTTAAGGCAATTTTCACCTACTTCCGTGTCCTGATTTCTTCCTTCCCGAGATGTATGTCTTATGTTAAATGCATGATCTCAATGATGGCGTGCGTGTAAGGCAAGCAGTCGTACATATCGTGTATGATTTTGTGAATAATTTATTCGTTGAAGTCGAGGGATTCGGGCAATTTTCGTAGTGCTGCGTTTGTTGGGCGCAACAGATGTTCCAGTCTGCTGGTAGTTTGCCAAGTGCTGCAACGGGAGGTCGCGTAACATCGTAATTGCCGTTGCTGATTATACACATCCAGTTACATTGCGCGAAACTCCTAAAACGACGACAATTTATATATTGTTACAAGTTGTAATAGAACCGCGATTCAGCAGCCATGCGATTCAGTTGTTGTAATCAAGTTGGATGTTGGATGTTGGATCCAGCTCTAATGAAATTACAACAAGCGTTTTGTACTTGTTTGTATTCAGATGCTGACTAACTTAGTTACTATCGCACTTGGAACAGTTTAATAACCATTTTCAATGGTATAGTAAATGCTTTAAAGAATATTTCAATTATCAAATGTCAAATAATCGCTATAGAGGAAACTCTTAATCCGGCTATATTTTATTTTTATAAATTGGAAAACAACTCCAATCCACACACTATGGCAATACTGTTTTAAACGAGATACACATTTACAAAATGAAATTTGTCAAAGCTTTTGAGTAGAGATATAGTTTTTTATATTATCTTAGCTAACTTACATTGAATATCAAGACCTTACAAAATTGCTAAAGGGCAAAAAAATGCGAAATCGACACCAATTTATATTATTTTAAGCTACGTTTTTGTGATCTTAGAAATTTACGAATTTAATCGAGTTCATATTAAATTATATTTCTCGAGCATTTTCAATTTTAGCAAGTTATTTTCATTAATATGGTTTCCTCAATATATACCTCTATTTACTCTATTTACTCATTTTAATTAACTCGTTCATGGTTTCCTCTTGTTTTACGTTAGAGTTAACTTTATATTTGCAATGAACATATATGTAGGTATTTTCATTGTTTAACTCATAATTTGATAATTTCAGCGAATTCAGTAGTATTATACATCAAAGTTACACTCGAAATCTAATTTTAAACAAGAAAAATCTGATTTTTAAAAGTTTTTTGCTACATATAATTTCAGGGATTTTTTAAATTTTATATAAAAAAATAAATAATTTTTTTTTTCATATTTTGTGTACATTTGCATACATTTTCTATCACGCTGTTCTCTCGTTCCAACAAGTCGGTTCTATTGGATCGAAATCCGAAACTATCAGAAGCATTAATCTGCATTATGTTTAAGCGAAATAAATTTCATACAATAAATTATGAAAATAAATAATGTATTACACAATCAGATAGCCTAACCTTATTGATAGTATAAAGGCACGCGATATAGTAAAACATTCACAACCTGCCACCATTCTTTAAATGATTTTTCTTCGATTTACATGTTCATCAACTATTAGAGACTTCTTGGGTAACGGATAATATAATAAACCCATAAGCAAGATATATATCCTAGTTAAATGTGGCTTTTGCTATATAAATTAACTGGGATAAGGATTATGTGAATTTGGGTCAGTTGGGGATTTACTTATTTTATACGGTGTTCATTAGACAATATTTAAATGAATAAAGTCGTTGTAAAGAGAAATGTAAAAGATATTATTACTCTTAACTTTTAATAGGGCATTGACTTGGGTAAGAATTTTTTTACACTTTCGAATTTAATTTGAAATTATAATATGCACATGAGTTTAAATTAGTTTTTTTAGATTTGAACTGTGTTTTTACAAGGAAACCACACCCAATTAATAAGTATCTTGGTATATTTGGAATTTAATTGTTTTATGATTTTTTACAATCATCATAGATATATCGTTTTACATACCAGATCATATATTACGTATGAATTGTATGAAACTTTGTTCGCAATTTAAAGTTTTCATAATTTTTCAATCATACTTCAACTATGGAATCGCATTTTGATAACTCCAATAAAACGACCACCTCTATTATTCCCTGCTAATAGTGGCACTTTGTCACGTAGCACCACGTGCTTTTACTTTAGCCACCCGCTGGTAAAAATTATATCCGGCCAATGAATCGAACAAGAGGTTTCCGATAAAAAAAGAAGTAAAACCGCCGATATAATTTTACAGCGCGGCGAGAAATAAATCATTTTCAGAAGCGTTGTGCCGTTTATCGATGGCTCGCCCCGGGCCGCTCGTTCGCCGATAGAGTCGGCCGCGTTGCAAACCGAGCCACCCGTTCAGCGGCGGGGCACTCGGAAACTGATATTTAAATAAAATAATATTATTTATAAAAAATGTATAATGCTTATAAACCAACGGTTGTATGATCTGTAAAGACTGGTAAAAATATTCCTCCACCTGTAATCGTTACAACTTTCCTTATATAGGTCGGTGGTCTAGAAAATGCTTCATCAGCAGGATGTCTCCCGACTATATATAGGTCGGTTTGAATATGCTTTACCAGCAAAATAGATCCTGTAACTACATTCTGGAAAATCTTTGCTCTGAAATTGAATTTATTCTAGCTATGTGCAACTCCGAAATTGAGTTGTTATCTATTTTAGATTTTATCAGTAAAAAAATATCCTGGTGTTCTTCAATTCTGAGAAATACTTGCTTTGATATCTACATATATATAAAAATAAGTCGGGTTTTCCTTCCTGACGAAATAACTCCAGAACGCACGAACCATGCATTCGTTGGTAAGGTCTCGGGCTCCGCAAGGTTTATAGCTAAGAAAATTATTTGTGCATGGCATCGTGCCTTAATGCAAATTGCTGGAACTTCACGCACCGTAATTAAAAATTCGAGTAATGGCATTAGTAAGAATTATCAGAATTATGCTTGGTTAAGTCAACGAGCAATTCTTGCCGCGAATAATAATGATATACACGCTCTGAATTTCACCATTCAATCAAAAATTGCTGGCGATTTGGTGACATACCAATGATTCCGACTGGTCTTTTGTTTGACTTCAGGTTTGGCAGTTATACGTTGTCTGTTCACGAGTTGGAAAACCATCCGCTTTGTTTGTGTTAACGTCAGACCAAAAAACAAAAAATGTGGTCCAAAGAGCACAACAATGAAACGGATAATTTGCGGATTCACTTTCATTTGCTTAGAATTTCATTTGTAATCGAAATAAATTCATTACTGTTATGTAATAAAATCAAATTTTTCTTTTTCAAATATAAAACAAACAAAAAATTTCTTCATCTTTCTCACGAAACCATCTGGTGGCGAAACGGAGTTCGTCGGGTTTGCTAGTTAGATAATTTAGTTTAATTTTAGTCAGATAAAGCCATGGTGACTTTAATAGATACTTTAATTAAAAATTCATCATAGAAACTTAATGTATTGGGAACAAACACTGCCAACATTTTTGGAAACCCACTGTTTTCATCTCACCCTTTATGACTGACATGATTCTATATTAAAACTTTTTTTCTCGGTGTATTGTAGTTGCAATGTCTGACGTGACACATTTTTCACTTTTTAAGGTCAGACACATATGACTGCCATGGTGTTTAACGTGTTAAACTATTATATCTTAAAACTAATGATTATTAAAAGTCTATTACTGTCTTTTCTAAGTCGACTACCCCTGGGCTAGATCGAATGCAAATGATAAAACCGTTCGAACTCGGAATCTTTTGCTCACGTTGTATTTTGACCTGCGATTTTTGTTTTCAGATAAAAGTCAAAACGTACTGTTCGACTGTGTCACTATAAATCAGCGATAACTTTTTTTAGTATGCGGAAAACGCTGTTTGTAGGACAACGGGATTTTTTATAACATGAACTACGGGTGTATAATCGAATTGAAGCTTTGTATGAAGTACATCGTTAATGGAAAAAATAGGTCAATGGGAAAAAAATATTCTAGAAGAAAAAAGTAGATCACACTGCTTGATATCGAGCTGGCTGAGTTTGGGATCGAAGTATTTTTGGCTAGCTCACATATTCCTATATCTATATATACCTAAAATTTTGGTTTTTATAAAATAATGTTTTAATTTATTCTGTTATATTTTTATTAAATTTACTTCAGTTCTATTTCTATTCTCCCATAAAAATATTATTATTTTTTATGTATGATCGTAAATAGAGTATGTAAAGAGAAATTGTGCATGAACTTTTGACAGGTTGGCGTGAGCATGTTAGCGTTACAATGAATAATGAATCTATAAAAATATCAAATATAATATATAGTTGTTTGAGCATTATTATATAACAGTATATTTCGTTAAATTGCAAAACAGCTGCACAGGATGGCGAGGAAAGACAATTCGCAGGTAATGGATTAAATAACACCTGTCGATGTTGTGAAACCAATTAGTAATCGATAGACACGAATAAAATTAGTTGATATGCACTTGTGATCAAAGATTATGTAGATACTACATATTGTACATTGTATGAAAAATTTAGTAGTAATTAATAACCCTTGAAATTTTATTTACCAAGTGTAGAGTTATTCAATCAACGCCTTCATTTCTTGAAAGCATTCTCACATTTTGCAATTAATCATCCGAGTGTTCAGTTGACACTCAAAAAACTCACACTTAATTCTGTCCTGAGACTTGAGTGGTTTTTCTCATACGCCATTCGAATTGTAAATGCATAATATATAATTATCTAGTACAGTTATATGTATATTTAATAGATCAATAATCAGTGTGTTTATCTACAGTAGGATGTATTTATCATATGCCTTAGGAGAATGCGACAAAGTATATGTTAAGACGATAGAGACGATAGATATTTATAGTTTTGTGAAATATCAATAAGTATGTCGTGAGCAATAAATAATTTTAATTATCATATCCCTTAGCACCAAATGCTCCTATAATCATTCCCGAGGAATGCAGTGCTGAAAATAACTCCGTGACTGTTGCTTGGCAGCCTCCGCCCCAAAGCCATATCGAAGGGTATGTCCTGGAACTGGACGATGGAGCTGGGGGCGATTTTAGGGTAAGTATTCTTAAAAACATCATTTTTTTAATTAAAATTTTACTTTGAACATATTTTGTTCAGCAGTCATTATTCCAAAAAATCTTCGACAAATTTTATCTTTTAGATCTTTATAAGGAAAATATTATAGTTTCCATCGTTGATGCCATCTGCTTCATTGTAATATCCCTTTCGGGATTTCAGATCTCATCTAAAAACCTCTTAAAAATTTACTGTTCTTGAAATTGTTTTAGAATCCCCATTTATTTTAGAGACGAATTTGTGATCACATGCTTTTTATAATAAAGAATAGTTTAAAAATATGAGAGATGAGTGACTAAAAAAGCACGTTAGATTTTGTATTCATTTTAATAATTCTACATTGAAAAGATATTTTTATGCAATGCCTGTAATTGTGATCATACATAATACAAATAAACTAGATAGATATACAGGTAGGCAGATAGACAGATAGGAAGACGGGTATAAAAGTAGACAGGTAGGCAGGTGGGACTGGTACGCAAATAGACAAATAGAAAAGTAGACTCTTAGACAGGTACATTGGTAGACAGATGGATTAAATCGATTGATTGGGGATATCAATTATTTACACATATTGGGTAGTTCATGAAAGTTTTCTTAAGTCAAAATGCTACCTATGCCTAGTTCACTTCGAAAATATTTTGTGTTAATATTTATTCTATACTTCTGGGCGATTTAATAATTACTGATCATTCAGCTGGTAAATATTGACCCTTATTATTTACTTAAGGGTCGATTTACAAGATTTTATATATAAATACTCAGTTTCTTGATTTGATTTCTGCAGTAAAATCATAAGGCCAAAAATTCAATACCCATGCGATTTGTAAACATTTTGTTGCCATAATTTTACGGTAAATCAGCAGGGCAGTACATTGTCCATTTTTCTTTTTATTACTGACGTTATATTCCACCACTAAGCGATATATATCCTCATTAATTACGTAATACGACTTTCTGTAAACTTTTTATAATTCATTTTACCTCTCGCCCACGGAAGTTTTTCTTGTTCCGCCAACTTCCAACTGGCCGCGAGTTACGGATACTTTCGGCGTTCGTTTGTTCCGAGGACTTTTTACTATTTTTACGGCGCTAGAAAACGCGAAATAGTTTATTTTTAATGAAAATAATTAAGTTGTTAATGATAAGAAATGTAATTAATGACATGACTCGACTGCCGCGTTGCTGCATGCTATATGTTAATTAAGGAATTTATCATTCGCGTTTTCTATTGCATTTTAAATATGCGTATAAATGGATTTTTAATTCAGCCTCGATAAATATAAGTCGACGTGTGGATGTGGATTGAGAAATGATTATTTAAAGGTAATTAATACTGTGGTGAAATAAAATGTAGTGTGAATAATGAGATTTTGCGGTGAACAGTATTAATTTTGTTCCAATTCCGAATCAGTATGGCAAGTCTTTTCCTTAAGTTAAATTTATCGAAGCCCTCGGACGGTTATCCGCTTGAGATAAATAGACTACCAGAGACGAAGCCGACTACAGGCTTATGTGGATCTTTTTTTAAAACTCCGTAATTCTGTTTCCAGAAGGCGCGATCATCTTATATCATCATTATTCGCGCATTCCATCATTAATCTTACATATCATGAGACGTGACACACATCCTTCCTTCCTAAGACCCTTATCTGTGTCACTTGTCAAAGCTAGTTAGTGCTTTACAACTTTTGCATAAAATATTTATCCGATGAGTGTTTGATTGATACACATGTGGAGTCGTGTTATATTTAGTTATAGTTATAGCTTGTTTATCTAATTGCGCAATTTTGATGTTTGCCTTTGATTAATGCCGAAGTTTTGGTAAATACAGAGCGAGTTCTGGCGGAAAGGAGGTGTAGTAATTGAGCCATAGAGATGAAATGAGATGTTGCAAAAGCGACTTTGTAGCCAACGTTGTTTAAGTGGTCAACTTATTTATTTTAGTTCAATTAAGAATTCTATTTAGAGTGACCTAAATGTGATTACATGATACGTAGATTTTGACTTCATGATTATACAATACAGATGAAATATATTCATATGTGAAAATATTCCTCACCAGGGATTGCTGCATTAATAAAAAATTTATTTGTGTGACTATTGTGTTTGGGCATCAGGCAATTGGCATTTACCCTTATATCGTTATTATTATGCCTGATTCAGTTTTTTTTCAATTCGCCATCAGAATACTTCCCACGATTTCCTCCTCTATTAGTATTTTCGACTCGAATTCCTATCCGTATGTACTAGGGTTTGTCGGTTTTCAAAAACCGGTTTTAAAAACCGGTTTTTTGGCGAAAATTATGGAATTCGAAAACCGGTTTTTTAGTGAAAAAAGTCGGTTTTCGCTGTATAAATGGAAAATGACAAATATAGCCAAATATAAAAGATAGATGAAAGCGTTTTGATTCTTGTAATCATATTGTTTCAATAGCATTTGATATCTTATCAGTCTGCAATGTTTCTGAGAAAGGTTTTGTATATAATAATTTAGATTTTTATGCCAGTAATTTAAATCAGTGTGATTTTTTCTTGAAGAAGTAACTTCGTCTACTCAAACTTACAAAAAAGAGTTTTAAACTCTAGAAGCCACAAACTAAAGAACAAAAAACTTAGAATTATTATATCAGGCTTTAAAAACAATTAAACATAATTTGGTCGCAAGTATGAGAGTATTTTCTATTTCAGGAAATTTTGTGAGTAAACAAAGGACACGTCTAAGTAGCAATTCGATAGACGTTCTCAATTTTTTTAAATCATATTTTTTTAAACAAAAAATAATTAGAATGTTTAAAATTAATTAATCAAAATTGTTTTGAACAGAAATAAAAGTTTGGCCTAATTATTTTTAAAACTAAAATTGATATTAACAAGTATGTATCAACATGTATCTAATATTTCTTTATTTTTTTTATTTAATGATTTTTTCTTATTTAAAAATGTATTATTTTTATTTATTCGAAAACTTTCCTTTCACTATCATAAAAAATATTTTCATTCTTATATGTGAAAATGATGCACGAATAACGAATAATTATTTTCAAAGTTATTTAATCAAGATAAACTATTATTTTTTTGTTCTGCTAAATAAAATTAAAATAATTTTGTTTACTATCTATAAAATTGAACAATAAATAAATTCAGTCAAATACTATTCTAAATTACACTAAAATTGCGGATAAATTACAGAATATTCGAACAAAAATTTATTTTCTATATAAAATTCGAAAACCGGTTAAAACCGGTTTTTTAGTAAAATGAAAATTCGAAAACCGGTTTTCTGAAATGTCGGTTTTTGTATAAACCCGTACTGAGTATCTGTTGGCTACAGATTTTAATTAAAAAACTTGCAAAGAGATATGCAACTAAAATATTAATTAACAATTTCATTTTTATCTTTTGAATATTTGTTGTTTTATCACGAATAAAACTTAGATGCGCTGAATAACGTTTTTTCTTCTTTTTTTCCTTCAAACGCACGTTACGATAGTGAAACATGTTAAACTTTGTTAATTTCGTTTTAAACGAAAAAAATATAGGAAAGTTTGTTATTGCACAACTTGTTTCTTTTATGTTATATATTTGATGTTTTTAAATGAGAAGAAAATCTTTATGAATAGACTTTTATTTACTTTTATTAATAAAATACTCCCAGCATATCTAAAAATATCGGAATACGTATGCATATGCATCGTGTAAACAATATATTTTAATCAATAGATTTGAAAACCACGTTGTGAACATAAAGAAAAAAAAAACAGACGTAGAATTGTACAGATTTGAATATGGAAAAAATGTAAAAAAAATCCTGTGTATGAAGTACACAAAATTCATTCTGCCATTGAGAGTAGTCGCATTTCATCTGCGGCATATGCGCGCCAGTTAAAATTTTATTAGGCCAATATGTGACATGCTGGGCATGATAATGTTCGGGCAGTAATGTTGCTTAAAATAGGATTAGTCGGCTATAAATCGGCATAAATGTCAATGAAGAGGATTAACTTAGCAGGATACGTGCCTGAAATGCCCATATTTGTTATGAGGACTTCGTGGTATGTCGGTAATGTCTCATGGTAATAAACCTTGCACTTGATCATTGTAATTATTGTTTGGAAATATTGATAATATTTAATTGTTTGACCTGCGATATTTGATTTCAAAGAATATCAGATATGTTACTTATGAACGCAAAAAGTAGATTAATAATTCTTAAAAAATATATTTGAAAATTTAGTACCCTCTTTGATTCTTCTTTTGATTTTATGGTATCTGCAAATATGAAAGCATAGTTTTATGATTTTTCTAATTCAATATTATAACATAGCCTGCTTATAAATAACTTAATAACATTAAATTTTCTATTATTAGTATGGAAAAGTTATTTTCTACACCAATATTCAGAAAGTGTAAGTGACAATTAAATTTCTGGCATAACATTTCTATGTCACGATTATTTTCTATGAAGTTGTGTGGTTTCATAGAATTCATCGATTCCGTTCATTCAATATTTTGCTCTTTTGTATGAAAAATAAGTTATTACTGGAAGCCCAAATGCACAATGCATCTATTAATGACGTAACTCGATTTCCACATGGGTTAGGCAACCTCCTGAATTTCTTCCCTGGCGGTCACGTGGCGCCGATTCATAGGGGGCGTGAAACGCAATAAGGGGTAACAGACATTCATATAAATATATATATATATATATATATATATATATATATAAAGGTATATATGTATATGTGAATACATCATGTGTATGTTTGTGTACATGTAGTGTTATTAACGTAAAACTCCCTTATACACAGAAACGGTCATTACACCTTGCACAATTTAAAGGGGATGCTGTGACCCTACGAACATTAAATAAAGTGCTCTGCAGATTTTTCTTATGATTAAAGGAAAAATAATTTGAATTTTAATTGACTTTGATCGTATGAAATCATATTAACCATTAGTTTATTTTTAAATGTACA